AATGTGGGTTTATTGTTTTGCTACTATTTTCTACAAACTTACACAAGCTTTTGTGAATTTCAGAAATAGAAATAAATGCGTCGGAGATCTTAGAAATATTGAGTATTGTAAAATCATAAAAAAATGTACATAAGTTTATTGAAAAACAAGTTATTTAAAAGTTGTGTGAAAAATTGTTTTTTCTTCAAAAACATGTTTCTCTAAAATTCAAATAATCTTCTTGTTCAAAAATGTTAAAAAAGTATTTTTTTCGGACATGGATGTGGTGGCTGTAACTGTGTAAAATTTTTTACCAAAATTTTAGCTTGGGAGGATGAAGAAGAGTAGGAGGGGGAGGCTTTTACTATCCAAGGTTTCTAATTTCGTTTTTGAAATTTTTTTGGAAGAAGGAATGAACTTGGAGTAGTATCCTTTACATTATTTTATTTAGCATTATTAATACGATATGTGAAATTAAAAAAAAAGTTTTAATAAAGCTCAAAAAAGTCTTTCAAAATCTGTGACAGAGTGATGAATGCGCCCTCTAGGAATTATCCTACCAAAATCGTCCAAAATGCGATAAATGTTTTTTATCATCGTTTGGCTCATTGTCGGAAAATGAGTGGACATCATTTTGAATATTGGCATGGGGATTCACTCTAATCAAGCACCCCGATCGTGAGAGGCGAGCGGACTCACGTAAATCAAGCACCCCAATGGGAACAGATTTTACGACGTCCACGTCATTGTTCCTGGGTAACGCAAAATGTAAAAAAATTGACCTTAACATGACCCTTAAGGTTAAATCCAAGATGACAATTGGATTCCTTGTGAAAAGTTACTAAAGAATCTCCTCCAAAATGATAAAAACCTTACACAACGTCAGACCGTCGTGAAGTTTAAATGACCTTGATATGAACTTGAAGGTCATCTTTGACCTATGACCTGAGTACATGTTTGGACGTAAAATTTCCCGCTCTTTCGATTACCGTTGTCAAAAATATGGGTTCCCATTTGAATAAAAAGTTGACCTTAAAATGACCTTGAAGGTCAAGCTCAAGGTCAAAACCAAGGTCACCACTGGATTCCTCGTTCAAAGTTACTACAGGAATGACCTTAATCTCCTCGGAAAGAGTTATATCTCAGGACTTATTGGGGTGTCCCGGAACTTTTTGGACACCCTGTATACGAATAATATCATCACATCGTATAACAAAAAAGTAGATCTCAAATAAATGTCGCATTATTGAAAATAATTTTCAGTAGCTCTTCAAAAATATAGAAAATAAAGTGATTTTTTGTCTCGATCGAATGGACTGACAGCACAGCCTGTTGATGCGTTAGTTTTACTTATTTGAATTTCAAGTGCAATGAACTTGAATAGGTACAGGAAAAAATGGTTAAAGTCTATGCTAATTTTTTTAAATATCATCTTCAAAAAATTTCATTTGTATGTGCTTCATCATTTAAACCCAGAATCAATAAATATATGTTATTTGCATTTTCAATTTAGTTTTACGTATTTATATGTTTCCAATATTTTCCATAATAACAAAAATAAAAATTCATCTCTAGGATTTAAACCGGCGATCCTAACGATTCAAAGCAGAAACCTCAGCCTCTCGGCTAACGTGTTTACATCACTGTATAAATGTCAAAAGTTATATTTAAGTTACCGAGAGGGGCTTGTGATTAATTTTATGGTTATAGGATTTGGGGTTTGAGTCTCTTGATAGCTAGCTCTTCATTTACTACTGTGGGCAAAAAGTAAGGTGAATTTGTTTGTAAAATGAAAAATCTTTATTTATTCTTCTACATCAATGTCATCCCCTTCGAAGTAATCCCCTCCCGATAAAATACACTTATGCCAACGTTTTTTTCCAATCCTCGAAACATGCCAAATAGTCCCTTTCCGGTATAGCCATCAGCGCCTTCTTCGATTCAGCTCTTATCTCCTCAATCGACTCGAAACGCGGTCCCTGGAGTGGTCTCTTGAGTTTTGGAAATAGCCAGAAGTCACACGGAGCCAAATCAGGCGAATACGGTGGTTGCGGAACGATATGCGTCGAATTTTTGGCGAAATGGTCACGAAGAACGAGTGCAGTGTGAGATGGTGCATTATCGTGATGCAAAAACCAAGAGTTGTTGGCCCATAATTCTGGTCTTTTTAGACGAATTGCTTCACGCAAACGACGCATAACGCTCAAATAATATTCCTTATTAACAGTTTGGCCGGGTTGAAGGAATTCATAGTGCACCACACCACGAAAATCGAAGAAAACTGTCATCATGACCTTGATTTTTGAACGACTTTGACGTGCTCTTTTCGGTCTGGCCTCGCCTTTAGCACGATATTCGCTTGATTGGTCGGTTGTTTCAGGGTCGTAAGCATAAATGCAAGTCTCATCTCCCGTAATCATGCATTTGAGCTTGTCCTGATAGTCAGAAAGCATTGTTTCACACACATCAACGCGGCGACTTTTTTGCAAGAAATTGAGCGTTTTCGGTACCAAATGAGATTTGACTTTTCGTAGGCCCAAATGGTCTTTCAAAATTGTTTTCACAGATCCTTCTGATATTCCGATCATATCAGTAAGGTCTCTAACAGTCAACCGACGATTTTCGAGCACTAATTCCTTCACTTTATTGACGTGTTGGTCATCTGTTGACGTCGATGGTCGTCCGGAGCGCTCCAAGTCATCAACACGTTCTCGACCCTCTTTGAAGTCTTTGTACCACTTATAAACATTTTTCTGCGACATGGTAGAATCACCAAAGGCCTTCCGCAACATCCTCAACGTTTCCGCAGCCGAAATTTCATTCCGCAAACAAAATTTGATGGCACTTCTTTGCTCAATTAAATCAGACATTGTAAAAATCGAAACATGCACTCTTGGTCGTTTGGTAAACACAAGCGTAAATATATTACTGATGATGACATTGACATGAAATTTGTCCCAGATGTCATTCGCAGTCTTACCAACTCAAGAAAAAAAGAACTAGCCCGAAATGTTAAGCCCGCGAAGTTCAAATTGAAAATTCACCTTACTTTTTGCCCACAGTAGTATGTCAACTCAACTCAAATCATATCGTCATCATCATTAAGCACAGTTTTGAAGCATAATTTCATATACGTTGTTGCATGTTAGTTGACACAGAACGATAGATAAAGTCAACCTGCTACGCATGGCGTATGCTACACCTGAACGAATGGCGCTTGCTATAGGAGTCTGACGCGAGCTAGTGTCAGCTATTCCGATGAGTGAGTCTGGCGATCTTCGCCGGTGGAAACGTCCCACTTCTCGTATATGGAATTGGGTCTCCTTCTCTCTTACTCCCTGATTCAACCTTACTTGTTGCATCAAAATGGCCGCTGCTGCTTGTTTACGCGCCCTTCGCTCTCGGTACCAGTGTTAGTTTTCGCTTCCTGGAGTGCTCGATCGTCCTTCCAGTCACGTGCATCCATTGTGTATATGTGTGTATGTGTGTCTGAGTAGAGAACTAAGAGTTTTCTCTACATAGTAGCAGCGTAGCGCTCAGGGTGTCGTCATTAACCACCAGTTGCTCGTCTTCATCTAATGCAGCGGTGATTCCAGTGGCTGGGCGACCCTGGGCGCCAGGCGAGAGTGTATGGAGTATAAGTATGTTGTGCATAAGTTTTCTCGGCTTTTTTCGCTTGTTTGTCCATTTTCCGCGAGTGTCGGCATGCGTTTTCGTGTGTGTGTGGACTCGGCCGCCTCGTGTTTTCATCGTATATTTCTACTGTTTCTCTCGGATTCTTGTTTTTCTGCAGTCGTATGGTCGATATGCGGGTGAAAAATTCTCCGGTTTTCCACTGACCAGTGCGTATCATTCGGGCTGTCGCAAATTATCACTGTTTTTTGGTTTCACGGTGGTGTCATTGTTTAGTAATGTGTGCACGCTCCTTGATTTACTTTTTCATGTCGACCGGTCTCGTTCTTTTCGCCTGCTGTGCGATCGCGTCACTGGCTTCTAACTTTGTTTTTGTGGGCATGGATGGGCCAATTCATATAAAACACCGTGTATCGGATTTGTGGGACGGCAGTATAAATTATTTATGCGGCCACGTGGCGGTCGCCGGTAAATGCGGTAGCCGGTTTTAATAGTAATGCATTGCTACACAGTTTGCTTTATTTTTACCTTTTTTAATTTGATTCTGTGATCAATAGAATCAGAGATATTTTTGTTTAAAGAATGGCTTTTCTTTCACAAAATTTTCCAAAATTTATGACTGATATTGTATATGTGCTGAGGATGAAAAATAAAAGTAATTAATCGATTCGACTGAAACATGAAGCCGAGATTTTTATCATCATAAATACATTTATATCATCCAAACGTAAAGTACCGGAACTATATAATTTTAAACATTGTTAGCGGCTTACATCGCCTCGCAGCTGATGACGCTCCGCCCGTGTGATTTAACTCGCGAAATAAGGAATTCTTGTTACAATATGTATATATATAGAGTTCATCTACAGGGGTTGCGACTCCCTACGTCGTCTGAGGACAAACTATAGACCTTAGATTTTAATTTTTTTAACTCAAAATCACGTGAATTTTTGAAGTTTGAAATAGCTATAGTGAATTTTGTTTTTAAGTTATTATATTCAACCAATATTACTATTATTGCTTATGAAATTCGATTATTATGGTATTAATATAAATTCACTAAAAAACTGATTTCGCAAAAGTAATATATATGTGTACGTATTTTATGAGGCAACTTGAGCCAATATGAAAATACTGCCATGAAATAATGATAATCTTCATTTCTATGTAAACTACAATTGATGATAAACGAAGCTTTTTTCGCTGATAAAACAAACTTGAACATCATAGCGCGCTTCGCGCGCTCAAATCTAATGACATGAACATACATTATATATACTTGTATATAATAAAAATATTAATTGAAATATTAATGATACAATTCTTTATAAACATAATTTTTATCTAAGGAATCATCTTTGATTACCTAGATAAATTTTTAATGAATCCTACAATCTCACTCTAGACATGGCAACATAAAGTTGACCATGATTAAAAACATCTCTTCGAAGATCAATACCAATTTTATCGAAAGTTTGTCCTTGAGATTTATTAATAGTTATAGCAAAAGCCAATCGAATTGGAAACTGTCGTCTTTTAAACGTAAGTGGATATTGATTTTCACAATACAACGTAATTCGATTGAGAAATACAATGTTATTGCGCTTGTCGCTTGTCAATATTTTACATTTTAATAAATGATTAGAAAAATCAAGTACTTGTAATTTTGTTCCATTACACAATCCTTCATCAAGACTAATATTTCTGATCAACATCACTATGCAAAATTTTCGTAAACGCAATCGATGAGGAGGGAAGTTAGGAGGGTTCATTGTGTTGAGATATTTTGGTAAAAGTACTTCTTCCATATGACCATTATCACAATTTTCAGTGCTATCTATGCCCGTGTAAATATGTTCTGTACTTTTATCTAACAAATTAGTGACTCTATTATTAATTTCATCTACATCAGCATTTCTGGCAGATAAAATTGCACAATGACTAATTTCATCAAATTTTTTCTCTTCTATTAAATTGCCGAAAATGTTTTGAACAATACATTTATTTGGCGGTAATATACATTGTTGAGGAAGCTTAATATTATTATCATGATCATTTAATGCTCCATTACCAACATCTAACAAATATTTAGCAAAATCAATTTCATTTGGTAAAACTCTCATGTTAGTTTTCAAATGAAATAATGAAAATAATGTCTATAACTGTGAGTTTTTAATAGATAAATTTAGTATTTCATTGCGCGATCCATTGACTTTAATCGGAAGCAATTGTCTAAAATCGCCACCTAAAACCATTATTTTACCACCAAATGGTTGATCATTATTCATTATAAATTGTAATGTTCTATTTACAATTTCTAAAGCATATCTGGGAGCTATAGAAGCCTCATCCCAAATAAATAGTTTAGCATCTTTTAAAATCATGCCTTCATTAGATTGTATTTTAATATTTGAAGATGAATCATAAGCATTGGAACTGGTAAGCCAAAAGTTTTATGTACTGTCTTTGCATTAGGTAGTTATATTGCGGCAATTCCAGTGTATGCCATTGTTGAACATTTAATATTCTCTGACATTAATAGATTAAAAATAGTAGTATAAATAAAAGTTTTCCCAGATCCCCCTTGTCCATCTGTATAAAAGCAAGTAGAGCCAATGTAATTATCTGAACGCAATGCTTTAAGAATATTATCAACTATTTTTTTTGTTCATCATTTAATTTTTCATATTGTTGATTGCCAATTTGTAATCGATGATTTCCAATATAATTGTCATAATTATCGATAATGTCAATCATTAAATTTTGGTCCATTGATGGGAAGTCAGCAATACTTTTTCCTTCCTTAATCAAAATATTATTTATTTCTGAACAGGCCATAACCCAATAACCCCAATAAACCAATAACCAAGAGATATTTTGAATAAGGACCCTCATTTTTTATCCCGGATTCGAAAAGAGCAGGAATTTCTACGTTTAGATAAAGTATTATGTTGAGGAAGCGGTTCACCCCCCCCCCCCCCATCCCACCGGGGCTAGGGTGAGGTTAATAAGGTATTGATTACCCAGCCAGTGAAGGTAAGGTATCGATTACCTAGCAATTAAGGCAAGGTATTGATTACCCAGCCAATGAAGGTAAGGTATCGATTACCCAGCCAATGGAGACAAGGTATTGATTACCCAGCCAATGAAGGTAAGGTATCGATTACCCAGCCAATGAAGGCAAGGTATTGATTACTCAGCTAATGAAGGCAAGGTGGGAATGCTCAGCCGATCAAGACAAGACGTTAACTACAGATAGAGTTATGGTCAAGATTGTAACACAACATTTATCTCATAAGATGTTCAAAAATACCCCCATTCAAATTTATGCAGTGTTGAATTCTACGTTCAAAATTTTCAACTGTGGACATCAAAACGTGACGCGGAATAGCTTGCAAGCTTGTATGATGCGTTGCATCATATCTTGCCGTGTTGTTGGTTGCTGTGCATAAACAACATTTTTCAAAAAGCCCCATAAAAGGAAATCTGGACTTGTCAGATCTGGTGATCTTGGACACCACTCAGTAACGTCACTACCAATGCCTATCCATCGTCTTCGGTATCGTTGGTTCAAGAAGTGACGAACCATTAGTGAGCGATGATACGGTGCACCATCCTGTTGAAGCCATAATCGTCTTCTGATTTCCAAGTCCACATCTTCCAATAATTCTGGTAATTCATTCTGCAGGAAATCAAGATATGCTGCGCCGTTGACATTCCCATCGAAAAAATAAGGTCCTACGAGATAACTATTTATTATACCGCACCAAACTTGAGTCAAAGTTATGTGATACGGATGAAATCTGCACAGCCGCAAAAATCTAGCGGGTGTTGATCTTGGGATTCCAGTACATCTCTGAATTTCACGCAACGAGATATGATGATCCAAATCAACCATTGCTAAAACGACGAGAATTCGTGGATCATCGTTGTTCGGCATCCCTCCTTTTAAGTTAACTAACAAGTAACCCTACCCAAGTGTCACTCACCGATTTTAACCAAACTTGGCACATCGTTAGAGCACTAAAAAATATTGAACCCGTGTTTTTTTATTTTGGCCGAATCCACTGTTAAGGGGTAGAAACCACCCCTAATAACCCCTAACCAGGCTAACCCACCTAACTCTGGGTAGAGCGAGTTTGATTAATTATTTTTTCACAAGAAAGTTAACTTCTCAACCCGGATAGGCTAACCCATTTATAACCTGATATAACCGATCCCCACAAATCACTATATCCCTTATACACCATCCCTATCAACCCCTAAGCAGGCTAACTCACCTAGCCCTGGGTAGAGCGAGTTTCATCAGCTGCTTTTCTATAGGAAAATAAAGATCATAACCAGAGAAAGGTCAACAAAATTTTACTTTGTAATAAAACTTTTGTATAAAAAATGAGTTAAAACCTGTAAATTTCATAGAAATAAATAAGACCGCAGCCAACTCGTTGGAATTCTCTTCAAATAAAATGTTCATTCGCAAGCTTTTTTTTGTAACAACGACTATACTTTTCTTGTATTATCTTTGTATTTTTTTTAAGGTTTAAAAAGTTGAAAAAAATCTTTTGACCTCAAATATTTTGAGAATAACAGTAACTGTGATTTGAAATTACTTTTTGAAGAACCGTCGACATTAGCGTGACCTAATGTGCACCGCGTGGAGGTTATCGATCGGATTTTGCACATCATTTGGCCATGAAAAGGGCCGTTTGGAATTTTAAAAGATTTTTTATAGTAAGTGGAGTTCGTTTAAATATCATAAAATTAGTGAAGACAAAAGTAACACGAAACAATAAAAAATGTACTATTATTTAAAATATAAAATATTCATAATGAAATTACTATTATTATTTTAATATTTATGTGGAATTAACGTATTGCTTACAATAGTGTGGTTTATCGACATTGTCAAGAGCAAAAAAGTGGTTTATTCAAAGACATTTGGTGCACCATGCACATGTGATAATCCCAAATAGCATACAAAAGTGGCATTTAACATTAGTATGTTGAAAACAATACTGAACAGGGGTTTGCCAACTATTTGGTTTTTCAAGTACGTAACCACTTTTGTACCATCCATATTTGAACATGTTTATAAATCGTGGTGAAGAAAACTGGTTATGCGTAAGAGATTGTAATTTTAAAATGTTATTACGTATATGTAAGTTAATGCTAAAATTGTACAACATAACTATATCTGAAAAGTTTTTTACAAAATTTTTCCAAGGTCTAAATCCATAGACATCTAAAGGCTGTATCATTCCCGTCGTTCCAGCAGGTATAGTTTTAATTTGAATATTTTTCATACCTGTATCCAATTTTTCAAACACTTTTTCATTTTGTCCAGTCCAAGAATCTAAAATTAACAAACTATCCGTATCAACTGCAAGTAAAAAAACGTTTTTAAACCATTCAGTTACAATATCAGATGTTAGTTTTCCTGATTTTGAAGGTAAAACATAAATATTATCTGCTTTATAAATAGTAGATTGTACCAATGGTCCAAATTTACCATCAGGTTCTTTTAAAACTATTAACAAAGGTGAGTGTAGTTTTCCATCTGCTGAAACGATTGGCTGAATTGTATAACTATGTGTTAAAGAATTTATCGACTGTGCTAGACATTCTACTTTTTGGGTGCCTATGATTGATAAAGTACGGAACCTCTAGATTAAACCCTGATTGGTCAGAATTATAAAGATTTTTATTACCTCTTGCTTCTACTTCTGACCATACCTCGTCTACAAATTCAGAAGCTGCTTGTTTCAATTCGTATTGATTTGTCAACTGTGCAGTAGTAACAAACTTATTAATTTTTCTTGAAACTATTCCATGTTTCACTTTAAAATTATGCACCCATTTTGGCGACGCTTTAAAATATTTTGAAGCTAATTGTACACTTTCTTTTGCCAATAACCCCCATCTTTTTAAATCGATATCATGAACAGGTAAACGATTTTCAGTAGCATTATTGAATTGCTGTAAAACGTATTTTGAAATATTGCGTAACTTTTCTAATCTGGATCCTCCTTCTTCTATTTCTTTTTCCCATCTGTACATTCTCTTATGTTTTACTATCTTAAAATTTTTCTTTACTGAATCCAAACTTCTCCTTTTTTTAGTACTACTTTTACGCCAAAAAGTAACTGCTCGTTGTTTATAATCCAAATCGACATCCTCTGATTGGTCAGAAATTTCTTTTTCTTCATAGTCATCGAAATCTTCTTCTACTTCATCTTCCACGCTTATAGCATTAGCTTCTACGCTATCATCATAGTAACATAAAGTTTCGTAATTTTCAACAAAAATTTTAGTATTCGATGAAACTTTTATTAGGTCTGTTAAATACGAAGCAAAAGATCGTTCTTCATCTGTTATTTGACTTTGGATATTATATGCTGGGTCATTAAATGCAGAATACAATAAATTCAAAAAAATTTTTCGGTTCATCAGCATGGTGGGCTATTTGAATTATTATTGAATAAAAAGAAAGAAAAAGATACTCGTAAGTTATCAAATTATTTATTCCACACGGTTCTTCTGTTTCTCTTTGAATTTATTTCTTATAAGTTGATATAAAAAATGATAGTAGATAAATTTAAATTATGTTCTGTTTTTAGTTGGTATAGGTATTTTTAATGATGCTTAAGGTTGACGTTTCGATATTATTCCTTAGAATCAATTAATATCATCTGATTGCGCGTAAACTTAACCCTGAAGGTACATACAGGACTAAAATACCCGGATGTAAAATTGAAAAATGTGTGAAAAATTCACTTTTGATCTTGTAAATCTCTAAATATAATATTTATACTTTAATAAAAAAATGTTTGTCATATTTCCAGAAAAATTTACTTTTGTTAAAAAATATTATATTTAATAAAATATAAAATATATTTAAATTTAATAAAATAGAAAATTAAATCAAGATACGAATTGTAAAAGAGACCGTAAATACATCCACAGTGTACCAAACTGAAGCTTTAGGATAGTACACCTTAAAGGTTAATTTAAATTAAGTTTTTTATATTTTTTATGTATTGAAAGATAGAAGCATTTTAATACTTGGAAATTGATAGGGGCGGTTTATGAGGATTGTGCGGATTTGTGCGGATGAGGTACATCA